AAAGGAATTGTAAAACCCAATACTGCATTATTTCCACTGCTTTCTTATACACTTGCCTTCAGTTGTTCGGTGTTTCCTGTAGATGCAGCAGATCCCGACTGCAGCTACAATCAACAGAGATCCAACAGAAGCAGCAGAAGTTAACATGTGACGTGAAGTAGACTTTTCGTCCAGTGCTGTAATCATAAAGAAGTGAATGCATCAGTCTGATCTACAACGAAATACAGAGACCAGGTCAGTAAAAACACATACATATCAGCGCTGCTGTACCTGAACATGTGTGACAGAGTTGAGTGATGTCCAGATGTTGAGTCTGGTTAGTAAATGAATTGTTGAGCACACAGCTGTAGGTGTTGTTATCCTGATATTCCACCTCCAGAGGTAGAGAGAGACTGATGCTGAGATCAGACACACTGATGCTGGACAATAAACTGTTTCCTTTGTACCAGGAGAGAGTCACACGACCCACATTCACCACTGAACACACCAATGAACAATTCTGCTGTGATGGTGATGGTGAAGATGATGATGAAGAACATTGTGAAGAGTTACTGCTGATGACAGGAACAGACAGACGAGCTGAAAACATGAGAGAATAAACAAATACGGATAAATATAAGTTAGTGAGTGTGTTTGTCATCTCACACACTGAAATCATTTAATCGTGTAAGTGGTTGCAGTAAAATAAAACAAGAATATGCAAATGACAGGACAAATGATTTCTACTCACCATAGACAGAAACACTGAATGTTTTTGTTATCAGCTTTGCTCCACTAATCTCTAGTTTATAGAGTCCAGCATGGTGAGTTGTGATGTTTGTGATGGTCAGAGATCCAGTTTGATTCTCCAGCTTCAGTCTGTCTTTGAATCTCCCATCAGGACCATCATTATATGTGAAGAAGGTTTTAGTCTCTCTGTTGATTTTAGCTACGAGTGATTTTTCGCCTCCAAAATACCACAGTATGTCATCATCTTCATGTATTTCATTAGCATCAGTTTGTAAAGTAACAGAATCTCCCTCAATCACAGACTGTCTTTCAGTTGTCTGTGAACCAAACCCACCTGGAGAACATGAAAAGGTTTTAATACAGATTAAGGTTCTTACTTGAATTGAAGAGCAGCAGCAGAAATGCAGAAAGGAAGCCTGAATATAATTGATCTGAGAAGAAAAGCAAATGCAAATCCCCAATTTGAACAGCAGCAGTAGCTGATGTTCTGAAACAAAAACAAATAAAATGGCGTAAAATGCTTTAATAACTTACCAATCAGATGCCTCCAGCACAAACAGAACAAAAGAAGCATGCAAAACATTTTCTTTACCAGTTCTCTGTCTGATCTAATAAGGCTATCTGCTAAAAACACGGTGTGAATCCTCCCACGAGTTTGACTCTCCTAATGCAAATGCACATGATCTGCATGCTATATAGTTACATATAAATATACTTCTGGCTCTTATTAAGCTATTTGATGCTTTAATAGCCCAAAAAAGTGTAAAATGGTTTAAATCTTCCAAAATTTTGTTGTAAAATAAAGATTATGGATTTTAAAAGAGTTTATAATCCTTCAGTTGTTGTGAACTGTAAAACGGTTCAAATCGTCTTACAACGCACATTGCCAGTCTGAGGTGAGACAATAGCAGCTCATATTTTGCATCGAACTGAAACCTTCTGTGGTCTGATTTCCTTAGAAACATGGGTTGATCTGTTGGGTGGACAAACATCTTATGCATGGGCTTTTAGTGCATGTGTGTTTAGTTTGTAGGTGAAAGGCTTCTTCCTGCTTTAATGTACCTGATAGTATATCCTTTCATACAAAACAGCTTGAATTACAATTAAATCCATCAAAAAACGTAAAATAGTCCCAGGTCAGACATGATTTATTATCATAAATCATTAATAAACTTGACTGACAACTGATAATTTTACAACACACACACACACACACACACATTTTGCTATCCTTGTGGGGACTCTCCATAGGCGTAATGGTTTTTCTATTGTACAGACCGTATATTCTATTGCCCTACACCTGAACCTACCTCTTACAGGAAACTTTCTGCATTTTTAGATTTTCAAAAAACTTCATTCTGTGTGATTTATTAGCTTGTTTACCCGTGGGGACCTCAATTTAGGTCCCCACCGTGACACGAGTCCCCATGAGTCTGTGCATATTCAGGTTTAAGTCCCCACCAGTATAGAAAAATAGGTATACACACACACACACACAAACGGTTGTTTGAACTAAACTGTTGCTACACTTTAAACAGAAACTACAAAATAGCTTCATGTTGCAGTGTTTACTGGAAGCAGATTTGTGATAATGCAAAGCAGTTAAAACAAATGTATGTTAAAGAAATAAAACATATAGAGATCAAATGCATTGTTTAAGTGATTGTCATGACTGTAAGATAAGACAAATAAATGAAAGTACATGAACTTTTAATCATGTCATGTCCTTCAGCCTGTTTGTTTTATAGGCAAGGTTTATGTGAGCACAGAGAAAAGACATTAGCTTTGTCCGAAATCTCCCTAATATAAAAATATACACAACTTTAATCTTATGCCAGTTATCATGAGCATTTGTCTTTTTTCTTCTAAGCATCTGAAAAGTGTTTTTATAGTTATCAAACAAATATTACATCCACTTCCTTTGTGATAAAGCAAGCCAAGGAGTGTCACTACAACACTGAAGAATATATTAAAACCAGATATATGATGTAATTTATAACTGGCATTTCTTGAAAATACATGTCTAATGGATATGTATGTGTGCAAGAGTGTATGTAGATGTAGGTCTAGGTTATGTGTTAGGCTAAAATTATTTATGCAGAAATAGGTAGGCCTATATGAATGTATTTATTATGCGTAAGAACAGAAATGATTCCCTTTCTCTAATGATGCTGAGGAGGGGAACACATAGCGCTGAATGGGCTCAATTGGTTCTGATATGGCAGTGAAAGAGGAGTGATACCAGATGAAGAGGAAGAAGATGTGTAGGGAAATGAAGACAGCAGGTTATGTGAGAAAAGAAACAGTAGGTGGTGGTATGTGCCGGTTCGGAATACGCCAACACGCAAAAAAAAAAGAACAGAAACGTACGGCTTGCATGACACAGCCTTTTTTGTTAATGCTTCTTCTTCACATCGCCTTTCGCTTTCACTTGGTTTCCAAATAGAACATTTTTGTTTCCACACATTCTGTACTTAGTTTCGAAAACGTGGTGGGAAATTATGTCAGGTGTTTTTCTCACACTGTGTGTTTCGCTTTTGCATGGTAAGCGATTTTTAATTATGACATAACGTTATTGTAGCAATTTCTGGGTGTGGAAACAAACAGCCATTTCTTGTTTCTTGTTTTGAATTCTAAGTATATGTTCTGTACAGTTTCGAGTAACGTTAATCCTTTATTTAACGTTGTGACGCATTTTGATTTGAGAGGTGGGGGGTGGGGGGTTGCATGCAAAATGAAAGACTGATAGCTTTAATATTTGGACAGACAAACTGTACATTTGAAGACAAAACACAGTATTTTGAATTATGAAATTGTGTTATTTGACCCCTAATTAAATTATAAGTAGCATCAGGCTATTTTCCAATCTCCTTAAATGAATGATAACTTCAATGGTCTACGAAAAAATGTAAGTATAGTCTTGTTTGTCTGATGAGTGAATATGTAATTCAATGATGTTCTTCTGCTGTTTGTTTGCATGTGTTGCATTATAAATCCAGACATATTTCTCACAGTCTATGATCTGTAGAAAAAAAATAAAAATAAATCCCAACACTTTCCTGTTGTATAATTTTGTCCCACTATCCTAGACATGATTTATAATTATTAGCTCGTTTCTTCTTCAGGTGCATCTGGCGTTGCTTCAGACGAAGTGTCAGTGATGGAGGGAGATTCAGTCACTCTAAACACTGATGTTGAAACAAACCAAGAAGACAGAATAATGTGGTATTTTAATTACGATCGTATCGCTCAGATCACTGGAAATCACAGTAAGATCTGCACAGATGCTGAGTGTCCTGAGAGATTCAGAGACAGACTGAAGCTGGATCATGTGACTGCATCTCTGACTATCACAAACATCAACACCACAGACTCCGGACCTTATTATCTGCAGATCAACAACCGCAACCATGAAAAGATGTTCAATGTTTCTGTTCATGGTGAGTCATATAACATTTAAAAGCAGGCAATATACAGTATGTTTAAATCAAATGAGTTTATTGTTTATTATAGTGGTGACACTTAGCAGTTTGAAAAAATTGTGAATGGATTATGTGAGGGATATCAACAGTTAGGTGTGCATTGCACGATTTTAATGTACAATGTGGAGGCAAAGAACCGCTTGATGTGCAACTAGCCATGGATTATCGATGGTCACTTGTCAGCACTGGCAAGTTAAAGCTGGTGTTTACAGCACAATATTTAACCGAAAGCGGAAAAGGCGGTTATTTTTGTCACGTTTGATCTAGCTTTTTGTCCGCTTTAAATCAGACACTGAGGCCATGTCCACACGTACACGGGTATTTTTATAAACAGTTTTTCCTTCTGCCGTTTAAAAAAAAATCTCCGTCCACATGAAAACGCAAACGCATGCTATGAAGCACTGTCAAAAGCATGCCAAACCAACAGGTGGCGATATAATCTCAACCGGAAAGCCATGTTGGCCAATCAGAAGTGTTATTTGACCCCTAATTAAATTATAAGTAGCATCAGGCTATTTTCCAATCTCCTTAAATGAATGATAACTTCAATGGTCTACGAAAAAATGTAAGTATAGTCTTGTTTGTCTGATGAGTGAATATGTAATTCAATGATGTTCTTCTGCTGTTTGTTTGCATGTGTTGCATTATAAATCCAGACATATTTCTCACAGTCTATGATCTGTAGAAAAAAAATAAAAATAAATCCCAACACTTTCCTGTTGTATAATTTTGTCCCACTATCCTAGACATGATTTATAATTATTAGCTCGTTTCTTCTTCAGGTGCATCTGGCGTTGCTTCAGACGAAGTGTCAGTGATGGAGGGAGATTCAGTCACTCTAAACACTGATGTTGAAACAAACCAAGAAGACAGAATAATGTGGTATTTTAATTACGATCGTATCGCTCAGATCACTGGAAATCACAGTAAGATCTGCACAGATGCTGAGTGTCCTGAGAGATTCAGAGACAGACTGAAGCTGGATCATGTGACTGCATCTCTGACTATCACAAACATCAACACCACAGACTCCGGACCTTATTATCTGCAGATCAACAACCGCAACCATGAAAAGATGTTCAATGTTTCTGTTCATGGTGAGTCATATAACATTTAAAAGCAGGCAATATACAGTATGTTTAAATCAAATGAGTTTATTGTTTATTATAGTGGTGACACTTAGCAGTTTGAAAAAATTGTGAATGGATTATGTGAGGGATATCAACAGTTAGGTGTGCATTGCACGATTTTAATGTACAATGTGGAGGCAAAGAACCGCTTGATGTGCAACTAGCCATGGATTATCGATGGTCACTTGTCAGCACTGGCAAGTTAAAGCTGGTGTTTACAGCACAATATTTAACCGAAAGCGGAAAAGGCGGTTATTTTTGTCACGTTTGATCTAGCTTTTTGTCCGCTTTAAATCAGACACTGAGGCCATGTCCACACGTACACGGGTATTTTTATAAACAGTTTTTCCTTCTGCCGTTTAAAAAAAAATCTCCGTCCACATGAAAACGCAAACGCATGCTATGAAGCACTGTCAAAAGCATGCCAAACCAACAGGTGGCGATATAATCTCAACCGGAAAGCCATGTTGGCCAATCAGAAGCCTGAAAAAGTCTCCAGTAGGCGGAGATAACAGCGCAGGCACCGATGTCACAAGACAAAATCTCCGGTTTCGCTGTCTACACGATAACACTGCAACCGGAGTTTTTGAAAATCTTCACCCTGGCAGGCGTTTTCAAAAATGTTCGGTTTCAGTGACCTGGTGCTGCGTTTGCGTGTGGACGAACGGCCTAACCGCGTAGAAAAATCTGCGGTTTTAAAAATAACCGCGTTCGTGTGTACAGGGCCTGAGATAAAGTAGTGCTGTAAGATTACATTTGTTTGAATTGATTGTAGCATTTCTTTGAATTAATTATATGTGCGCGAAAGATTGTGGATTGTGAATGACCTGCGTCTGTGCAGGGTCTCTCTACTAATAGCGAATTTATTTTATTCATGAAAGTCACGGTGTAGCGTTGACGGCAGGTTTATTTGCTCATGAGTGTTTCTGTATGTGTGCAGCCTTCCAGCCAATCAGAATCAAGTATTCAGACAGACGATGGTATAAATACAGAAAATGAGCAAAGAACACTTGTTATAATCAATAACTTGCCCTCATGTCTTTCCAAATCGGTTTAAGCTTCTACTTACCATATGTTGTGTGCGTTTGTGTGTTAATCAATGTTTATATGTAATCGAAAGCCCAAATGAAATCTGTTCATCATGTAAAGTGTTCTTCGGTGTGTAATTATTTTCATATCCGCACTCTTTCTTGTTGTGTAGTTTTGTATGTTTTCAGCAAAAAGATCCTCCAGCAGCTGTTGGTTTGTGTTTCAGATGCTCCTGTCGCTGATCGAGATGAAATTAAGTCAGTAAAGGAGGGAGAATCTGTCACTTTAGGTCCTGGTGTAATAAACAACCCAAATTATTTGATTACATGGTTTTTTAATGACATCCGCATCGCTGAAATCAATGGAGATCCCAGCACAGATGTTCAGTGTGAGGATGCTGATGGGAGATTCAGAGACAGACTGGAGGTTAATCAGACTGGATTTCTGGCCATCATGAACACCAGAACCACAGACTCTGGACTTTATAAACTAAAGATCATCAGCATCAGCAACAGCAGCTTCAGTATTAGAAGGAGTAGGAGTTTCAGTGTTACTGTCACTGGTGAGTGTCATTCAGTGCAAATTAAATAAAGTGCCTTTCATTGAGGACAGTTTTGAGTAACATTTCAATAAATGTTATTAACCTACACAATGCACGAAATGCACAATGCAAAAAGTTTCCTGTAAGCATTGATATTTCCTGTTGATGTCGTTTTAGTTCCTGTAACTCAAAAACCACCATTTGTCAGTTAAATCCATACCACACAACTGATGAACAAAGCATAAAGGTGTACATATCAGTCAGAAACATCAAATTACATTGTTATGACTGTCTCTCTTTATGGTTACAGGTTCAGGTCCATCTCTAGCTGCTGTAGCAGCAATATGTGTTGCTGTAGTTATTCTGCTCGTGGCTGCACCTGCCGGTGTAATTTACTATCTTAAGCAAAAGAAAGGTGAGTATTACATACAGCTGATTGAACAAGATGAAAATAATAGAGTCATTGTGTGTGCAAGATGTGAAAATATGTATTTTCATTCTAATTTGCCAAAGTCGTCTTTGTATGTAACTGAGTTTGTCATTATTGTTCAAACAGGCAGGGGGGCGGAGCGAAATCAAGTTCAGGTAATATAAACCTAAATTCCTCAAAAACACAGTTCTCATCTTTAAGTTTGTTTTGTGTGTCTGTGTGTGTGTGTGTGTGTGTGTGTGTGTGTGTGTGTAACTAAAATCAATCCTGTTCATTTCTTTTTCCTTCTATGTTAGAAAAATCTGCGGTTTTAAAAATAACCGCGTTCGTGTGTACAGGGCCTGAGATAAAGTAGTGCTGTAAGATTACATTTGTTTGAATTGATTGTAGCATTTCTTTGAATTAATTATATGTGCGCGAAAGATTGTGGATTGTGAATGACCTGCGTCTGTGCAGGGTCTCTCTACTAATAGCGAATTTATTTTATTCATGAAAGTCACGGTGTAGCGTTGACGGCAGGTTTATTTGCTCATGAGTGTTTCTGTATGTGTGCAGCCTTCCAGCCAATCAGAATCAAGTATTCAGACAGACGATGGTATAAATACAGAAAATGAGCAAAGAACACTTGTTATAATCAATAACTTGCCCTCATGTCTTTCCAAATCGGTTTAAGCTTCTACTTACCATATGTTGTGTGCGTTTGTGTGTTAATCAATGTTTATATGTAATCGAAAGCCCAAATGAAATCTGTTCATCATGTAAAGTGTTCTTCGGTGTGTAATTATTTTCATATCCGCACTCTTTCTTGTTGTGTAGTTTTGTATGTTTTCAGCAAAAAGATCCTCCAGCAGCTGTTGGTTTGTGTTTCAGATGCTCCTGTCGCTGATCGAGATGAAATTAAGTCAGTAAAGGAGGGAGAATCTGTCACTTTAGGTCCTGGTGTAATAAACAACCCAAATTATTTGATTACATGGTTTTTTAATGACATCCGCATCGCTGAAATCAATGGAGATCCCAGCACAGATGTTCAGTGTGAGGATGCTGATGGGAGATTCAGAGACAGACTGGAGGTTAATCAGACTGGATTTCTGGCCATCATGAACACCAGAACCACAGACTCTGGACTTTATAAACTAAAGATCATCAGCATCAGCAACAGCAGCTTCAGTATTAGAAGGAGTAGGAGTTTCAGTGTTACTGTCACTGGTGAGTGTCATTCAGTGCAAATTAAATAAAGTGCCTTTCATTGAGGACAGTTTTGAGTAACATTTCAATAAATGTTATTAACCTACACAATGCACGAAATGCACAATGCAAAAAGTTTCCTGTAAGCATTGATATTTCCTGTTGATGTCGTTTTAGTTCCTGTAACTCAAAAACCACCATTTGTCAGTTAAATCCATACCACACAACTGATGAACAAAGCATAAAGGTGTACATATCAGTCAGAAACATCAAATTACATTGTTATGACTGTCTCTCTTTATGGTTACAGGTTCAGGTCCATCTCTAGCTGCTGTAGCAGCAATATGTGTTGCTGTAGTTATTCTGCTCGTGGCTGCACCTGCCGGTGTAATTTACTATCTTAAGCAAAAGAAAGGTGAGTATTACATACAGCTGATTGAACAAGATGAAAATAATAGAGTCATTGTGTGTGCAAGATGTGAAAATATGTATTTTCATTCTAATTTGCCAAAGTCGTCTTTGTATGTAACTGAGTTTGTCATTATTGTTCAAACAGGCAGGGGGGCGGAGCGAAATCAAGTTCAGGTAATATAAACCCAAATTCTTCAAAAACACAGTTCTCATCTTTAAGTTTGTTTTGTGTGTCTGTGTGTGTGTGTGTGTGTGTGTGTGTGTGTGTGTGTAACTAAATCATCAATCCTGTTCATTTCTTTTACCTTCTATGTTTTATTACAGGAGAATCCTATAAAATACTCACCCGTTAGTCAGGCTGAGGCTGCTGCTAATGGCGCGTCCCATTAAAAGACTGAGACTGCCACTGAAACACCACCGTAGCATTATTTATTATTTTATTTTTCTTGAAAGGGACAGTGAAGAGACGATGGGAAATGAGGAAATAAGGATCAAACTCACTCAAACGGTAGTCCACGTTTTTTCAGTTACATAAGCTTCCAAAAAGGCAGTTAAGCAGTAAACCAGCAATAAACTAAGAAACAAAGCAGCTCGTTACCAGCAGCAGAACAGCGAGTGCTTGAGGTTTTTCAGTATGTAAAGTAGGGCTGCAAAACGATTAATTGTGATTAATCGATTCAAAATAAATGTTTGTTTACATATTATATTTGTGTGTGTACTGTGTATATTTAGTATGTGTATATATAAATACACATACATTTATATATTTAAAAAATATTTGTATGTAAACACTTGTTTATAATTTATATTATATATATTATATGTACACACACATATAGTATGTAATCATAAGGTTTTATTTTGAATCGATTAATTGGTTTGCAGGCCTAATGTAGAAGTTTGTTAAAGCTGCTACAGTGATCCAAAACAAGTGCAGTCAACGATTTCTGTTTCTTGTCATTTGCACCATAATGCCATTTTCACTGGTCAGTTATTATGTCCCATATGTTTACAGCCTCTTTAACTGACTACCTACTGTATTCTGACTATGTACTGTATTCACTACATGAATACCTCGCCAAGACGGCCATTATGACAAGGAAATGTATTTGACTGCACGCATACAATCGCACAAGGCCTCGTACTGCACTTCATATACTTTAGTTGCCATTACTGGTTACGTTATTTTGCTATTGACATCTCGCTGTTACTACATATTATGTTAACTTGTGTAATGTGAAACAATGTGGTTTTAGAATGTTACAGTTAGTTGCTTAGCAATCGCGTACCTATTCACATGCTTTGGATAATCATGGAATCACAGTGCGCTGTATAAACAGACGTTTCAGCATTTGAGGGAATTGAAGAAGTATTAAAAATCCAATTAGGAAAAACTTTGTACTATAGCACAGTAGCAAAGGTCTACAGGTGCATCTCAATAAATTAGAATGTCGTGGAAAAGTTCATTTATTTCAGTAATTCAACTCAAATTGTGAAACTTGTGTATTAAATAAATTCAATACACACAGCAGATGACCTGAAGGCCGCTATCAAAGCAACCTGGGCTTCCATTACACCTGAGCAGTGCCACAGGCTGATTGCCTCCATGCCACGCCGCATTGATGCAGTAATTCATGCAAAAGGAGCCCCTACCAAGTATTGAGTACATGTACAGTAAATGAACATACTTTCCAGAAGGCCAACAATTCACTAAAAATGTTTTTTTTTATTGGTGTTATGAAGTATTCTAATTTGTTGAGATAGTGAATTGGTGGGTTTTTGTTAAATGTGAGCCAAAATCATCACAATTAAAAGAACCAAAGACTTAAACTACTTCAGTCTGTGTGCATTGAATTTATTTAATACACAAGTTTCAGTTTTTGAGTTGAATTACTGAAATAAATGAACTTTTCCACGACATTCTAATTTATTGAGATGCACCTGTATATGATGATGTGCAATGTTGGATCTGTTATGTAAACAGGTTGCATAGTGCATTTTTCCAATCAATGACACTGACTCAAATATGCAAATAAGAACGCTAACCTGGGGTATAGGAATGTATAACAGCCAAAAATGTGTCATTCTTGCTCAAAAATTGAACAATGTTTATAATAATGCACGTACCTTTGTGTTGTGCTTGAACTTAAAACAGAACAATCCACGGTTTGAGAGTTGAGTCACTCTTTAACTTCTATTTATGCCTCTTTGGCATAGCGATCACTTGAATATAGAGCTACAAGTTCAAAATCTGAGCCCTTATTTCACTAAAAACATTAGCCTATAAAATGTAGACGTTTGAAAACTGCCGAAATTATCACAAATTTCGTCCACCAACCCAAGCCAATTTTGACCCGCAATCCAAATCACATCCACCTGATTGGGCGGAAATCCACCCAATCTGGCAACACTGGTTCTGTTGTAATGTGCACAAGTGAAAGTTTTATTTGTACATTTATGTGAATCACAGTGGAGTTGTAATGTCATCTTGCCATTTTGTGATATTTTATGAGGAGCTATTTAGATAGTCTCACTGCCAGAGTCTTGAATTTCACTAATGTGGGACATTAAAGGTGAACATCCTGTTCATGAAGCATGTTTATTGTAAAACCATGCCTTATATTATCACTGTGTGATAAAGATTTGCCTCCACTTGGGGGGCTTAGCCTGTAATATGGGTGTTACAATTGCTTAAATCAATAAGAACTGGACATGGATGTTTTAGTTTCACCAATGCAAATGTTTCAGTGATTTTAGTAAATGATCTGTGGATATAAAGAGTTTTTATTTTGTGGGAAAAAGGGAAATATCATGTGCCTTTCCTTAACTTTGTGTCGGCAAATGTAAACAAAGTGCTTGAAAGTTGAGCCTGTATAAACGCTGTTGTCTTTCTGAATAAATAAAATAATAATAATAATAAATTGAATGCTCCTTGTATGTTTGCATGTATTCACACATAATAGCTGGATTCTTGGAATGGTGAATTCCTAGTTGAACACAAGATTACTAATACTATTATAATACTACTTGTATTATACACACATGTATTAATGAAATATAAGTGGTAATGTGATATCAGATTCTATTGACAATTGACAAATTGACAAAAATTGACAATTTCTTTATCTTACACTCTTTGAAGACATTGAACATTAGTAACCCTAATATAAGCATAGTACCGATGACAGCAAGCAACACTTTTTCTCTGTATGAATATTGCTCATCCCTGTAGGTCAAATGCTGTATTAGTTTTATTTTTTGAGGGTGCACTTTCACCAGCTTGCTTCGAGTTATAGCAAATGTAGAAATTAAAAGCGTAAACGATTATATCTAAGCTATAAAATGGCAGACTTTTGGCTGAGAAGTGCAAAGGATGTTATGTTTACGATACAGAAGCATTAGGTGGAAACTTAGGCCTACATTTGATGCAGGGTATTATTTATAAGAAGAAGAGAAAAAAAAAACATGGCAGCTTTGCAGTACTCCACAGTCCACAAAATAAAGTTAAAGCCCTATTCGGACGGGACTACACTCTTAAAAATAAAGATGCTTCAAAAGGTTCTTCAAGCGATGCCATAGAAGAACCATTTCTGGTTCCACAAAGAACCATTCAGTCAAAGGTTCTTTAAAGAACCATCTCTTTCTTAGCTTTTTATAATCTGAAGAACCTTCTTTCACCACAAAGAACCTTTTGTGAAGCAGAAAGGTTCTTCAGATGTTAAAGGTTCTTTCTGGAACCATTTAGACAAAAAGGTTCTTCTATGGCATCGTGAAGCACCTTTATTTTTAAGAGTGTAGTTTTACAGGGGGTCGTTAGAGAAATTTGTGTTTCACAGACCTACTGTGTTTTTCTCACACAACCTCTGTAATAATTCCAGAGCAAATTACCTAGTTTTTCAGCAAACTCAGTGATCCTCTGAGAAAACGAATCCCGTCCGAATGCGAATGTCTGTGATTGTGATATTTTTTTTCCACAACGCGTTTCCTTGTGCGTTTTGGCCAACATGAATGACCGCAGATGCTCTGGGCGCATGTTGGATATATTTGCCTCCTGGCAAAGAATAAACAAACAAAAAACAATAATAAAACCAAGAGCCAGATCTCGTAAACCCTTAAGACTGGCTATTGTAATATCAGCGTCAGTAAGATTACTCACGTTTATTTCTGCACTCAATTAGGCTACATAATGGTTTAATATGTACCTTTATGACAATTAAGCATGGGTTTACTACAAAAAAAATATAGTTAAACCAAAGTAACCACACATTAATATGGTTTTGCTATACTAGCCATTTAGCTTCACCATGGTATTTTTAGTCAAACTGATTTTAGATGTTAGTCCCGTCCGAACTGGTACATTAAAATTGCCGACGTCAGGTGACTCAAACAAAACTAGTCCCGTCGAGCTTCATGAAGCTGTTATTCAAATCACCACAATCCGATTCGTCCATCACTACATGCAGATGAAAGAGAAACGTCTCGCATGAGGAGGCTTTAACCGGTGAACCAGCAATGACAGAGCACTTAAACCGTCACGGAATTTGTAGTCATTTTAAAACAAAATGAAGAATGTCTCGAATTTGCTCTCATTGCTCATGTATTTTCTCGCGTATGGTAAGACATTTTAATGTTTTAATCTCTCTTCGGGTCAATACGAACGTGACGCAGTTTAGTTTACATTCGACACATTAATATCTGTATTTTACTTGAGCATTGTAAGACATTTATTTGTTACAGTTTCTTTTCTGGTACGATACAAACGAACAATGAACATTAACGTGTTTTGTGTGTTGTTGTTTGGCTCGTGATTAACTGTTCATGTCTTCTTCAGGTGTTGATTCAGAGGGAGCCACAGTGTCTGTGATGGAGGGAGATTCAGTCACTTTAAAATATCTTATAAACCAACAAGAAGACATTATGTGGTATTTTAATAACATTTCCATCGCAGAAATCACTGGAGATCTCAGTAAGATCTGTACAGATATTCGGTGTGATAATCGTGCTGGGAGATTCAGAGAGAGACTGAAGCTGGATCATCAGACTGGATCTCTGACCATCATGAACACTAGAACCACAGACTCTGGACTCTATGATGTATGGATCTCCAGCAAAAATCGCGGCGGTGGAGGATCCTACTCTGTTGTTGTTCATGGTGACCGCCAGCTTGAATGGTTTTGGGACGTGACCTAAAGACAACGACGAGTTAATAATATTAAGAAGCGGTTATTCTGCTACAGGCAACAACTCTTTCAATAATTTAGTGGGTACAGGATCTAACAGGCATGTTGTTAGTTTAGATGCAGTGATAAGTTTATTTAGCTCTTCCTGTAAGTCATTGTTTTTAAAAGCAACCCAGCAAGCAATAGCCGTCATTTCAACGTCTCGGTTAAGTATATAGACCCGATATATCCCGGCTATATGTAACCCACTTCTAGCCCAAATAACCTTGAATTTGGTTTCATGTCGTTTTTTGGCAAAATAACTTGTGAGATGTATGATATTCCATCATGTAAGCAAAGTAACAGCGTTTACAAGGTGTTTGGTTTCATTTCTTTGACATGTTCAATACGTAGCCTGTGCGTAGCCATGATTTAGCTCTGTAGTCAGAGCGGATATCTGTAGCCCACTTATAGTCAAACCTGACTCACTGTAGTTTTTGGCCAGACAGCGCATGAGATGGTTGATATACCATCATGTTCGCAGTGTCAATAATATCTACAAAGATATAAGTGTCATTTCATGACATGGTCTATATGTAGCCACGATTTCGCTCTAAATTGGACCGGCTACGTGTAGTCTCCTTTTAGCCCACCTGGCGAAATCGAGGCAATCTGTGGTCTAATTTTAACGGCTTGGCTATAGCCCTATACCTCCAGACCAGCGATGAGCATGGCCAAAATAGCCTTAAAATTGTTTACATGTCATTTTCGCACACGCAGCTTCTTATCAAATGCAAGTAAGCTTTTGAAACATTTAAATTAGCATTATTTTATATATATATATATTTTTTTTAATTATTTTACAGCATTATTAAATATAGCATTATTTATTATACCAAAAATAAAGCTAATTTAAATGTTTCAAAGGTTTACTTGCATTTGATAATATGATGTAATGCGTTCCACAAGCTGTTATGTTACATTCATACACAATATTTTAGGAATATTCATTAAGTTGCTTCTTTTAAAATGTTTTATTGATTAATCTAAGATGATCAATACATAATCCCTGGAAACAACAAATCCTGTTTGATAAATTGGACCAGTGGATTTATATGGATAATACTTTGGTCTGATTTATCATCAAAATTTACCTTTCAAGCATTAAATATAGGAGATCCCAATTAAATTCCTATACGGTGGGAAAAATTCCAAAATTTTATTTTGTATTCTAAATATTCATCTAATTCAAGAAAACAGCACTATCGTTTGATAATGCTTAACTAGAAACAACTCATACAGAGACATTTTTTGCCCTTGGATATCTTGAAATTCTGGGGCATTATAACTGCATTTGAAATGGGCAATGCTATTTGACTCTGTTTTTGCAAAGTGCTCGATAATGTCAGCTCGCATACCTCACATCACAAAATGATCGTAGATGATGCATATCGCACACCCCTGTTTACATTATGAATTTATACATATTTCTCTTCCCACAATCTTTATGATCTGAAACCAATTTTCATTGCACTTTCTTTAGGTGTGTCTGGTGTTGATAAAGATGAAGTGTCATTGATGGAAGAAGATTCAATCACTCTACACACTGGTGTTAAAACAAACCAACAAGAAAAAATTAAATGGTATTTTAATGACATTCGAATAGCTCAAATCAGTGTAGACCAGAGTAAGATCTGTACAGATGTTCAGTGTAAAAAAGGTGATGAGAGATTCAGAGGCAGGTTGAAGCTGGACAAACAGACTGGATCTCTGACCATCATGAACATCAGGACCTCAGATGCTGGACTTTATAGACTACAGATCATCAACAGCAGAAGCAGCAACATGAAGAGATTCAGCGTTGCTGTCGCTAGTGAGTATAATTTAGTGTTGATGCTCATTAAATACAGTATATACATCTTTGATCTTGTAGGTTGATCCACAAGTAGTCAGAGAAGTCATTAAAGGATTAGTTCACTTCCAGAATTAAAACTCCCTGATTATTTACTCACCCCCATGTCATCCAAGATGTTCATGTCTTTCTTCTTCAGTCGAAAATAAATTAAGGTTTTTGATGAAAACATTCCAGGATTTTTCTCCATATAGTGGACTTCAATGGTGGCCAAGGGGTTGAAGGTCCAAATTGCAGTTTCAATGCAGCTTCAATCGATCCCAGCCGAGGAATAAGGGTCTTATCTAGCGAAATGATCTGTCATTTTCTAAAAAAAAAAAAATATATATATATATTTTTAACCACACTAGCTTTTTAACTACAAATGCTCATCTTGCACTAGCTCTGCGATGTGCATGCATCTTCATGCATTGTGTAATCACGTTGGAAAGGTCACATGCAGTTAGTTCTTCATCTGTATATTACAGTTCAAAAAGGTAGGGCGAAAAACTACATCTTATTTTCTCCACCAACTTCAAAGTTGCTTGACATTGTTGTTTTACTTTCTTTTTTTTTTCTAAAGTTGTTTGACTTTGTTTGCATGTTCACTTTGTAAACACTGGGTCGGTACTTTCCCCTACGTCACGCGTGCGTGATTATGTAATGTGTGAGGTTGAGCTAGTGCAAGATGAGCATTTGTGATTAAAAAGTATATATATATATATATATATTTTTTTTAGAAAATCACTGATCGTTTCGCTAGATAAGACCCTTATTCCTCGGCTGGGATCGATTGAAGCTGCATTGAAACTACAATTTGGACCTTCAACCCGATGGGCACTATTAAAGTTCACTATATGGAGAAAAATCCTGGAATGTTTTTATCAAAAACGTAAATTAAGTTTTTTCAACTGAAGAAGGAAAGACATGAACATCTTGGATGACATTGGGGTGAGTATATGATCAGGAAATTTTTATTCTGAAAGTGAACTAATCCTTAAGTATAAGTTCATCCATAAGACTCATGTATGTTTGTATGATGAGTGAATGTGTAAACCAATGTTTTTCTGCTGTTCTTTGCGGAAAAGGTATGTTAGGTTATGAATCCAGACATATTTTTCTACCCACAGTATATATGATCTGTTGGAACAGGACTTTCCTGTTTTATAATTTTGTTTTTTGTATAATGAATTGTTCATTTCTTCTTCAGATTCATCTGGTGTTGGTACAGATGAGGTGTCAGCATCTGTGATGGAGGGAGATTTAATCATTCTAAATACTAATGTTAAAACAAACCTACAAGAAAGGATTAAATGGTTTTTTAAAGGCATCCGCATAGCTCGAATCAATGGAGATCTCAGTAATATCTGTACAGGTGTTCAGTGTAATAAAGGTACTGAGAGATTCAAAGACAGACTGAAGCTGGATCATCAGACTGGATCTCTGACCATCATGAACATCAGCACCACAGACTCAGGACTTTATGAACTAGAGATCATCAGCAACAGGATCAGCATCATGAAGCACTTCAGTGTTGTTGTTCAAGGTGAGTCGTTATGTTTAATAGCAAGTCTTGTACATATATAGCATTGTTCAGCAACGTATGTAAGAGCTGGTGTCGGACAACGATGAAGAAGAGGCTCCGGCAGAAGTAGAAACTCGTAGAATGTACCAGAACGTTTCTTAATGGTTAGCTGATAAATTTGTCATTTTTGAAAACTGAAAATATTTAGGCCATTTTCAAAATATCAACAAATAATGTTTTTCAGGCTGAAAGTTGAGATGCGGCGTAAGGAATTCCTTTCATATCCACAGATCTTGATGTTGTGTAGTTGTTGTTTTTTTGTTTTTTTTGTCTCAGAAATTCAAATTTATTTCTAAAGCACTGAATAAAACAACAGCGTTGACCATAGTGCTGTACAAACAGTAACACAATGAGCAGAAGACAACTTTTAAAAAGGGATCACATCCATATAATTAAATGCGTAATATAAAAAGAAAGAACCTTCGATCAGCTGTGGGTTTGTGTTTCAGGAGTTTCTGCTGCTGATCGAGATAAAATGAGAAGAAAGTCAGTGAAGGAGGGAGAATCTGTCACTTTAGAATTTGGTGAGATAAAAAAAACTAATCATTCGATGGCGTGGTATTTTAATGACACTCTCATCGCTGAAATCAGTGAAGATTCAAGTGAAATCTGTACAGATGATCAGTGTAAAGAGAGATTTAGAGACAGACTGAAGCTGGATCATCAGACTGGATCTCTGAACATCACGAACACCAGAACCACAGACTCTGGACTTTATCAACTACGAATCAGCAGAATCAGATTCACCATCATTAGGAGCTTCATTGTTACTGTCACTGGTGTGTATCACTTAGTTACTTAAGTCCATTTTTCTATGAACAGTTTTTAATTAATGTTTGAATTTTTAAATCATCCAGTAATTTTAATTTTGGCCTATATTGAAATATAATTGATATCATCATCTTCATATGCACATCTAATGACATAGTTGTCAAAACAAACATGCTGTTCTTAATACTAATGTTATTAACATGAACAATGTGTAATAATCAGTTGTAATGTGTTGGTGTTTCTTGTTGAGCTCGCAGTGTTGTGATGCTGTTTTAGCTGCTGCTCTTCAAAAACAATAACAGATGGCGTCAATTACCAGCTAAAACAATATCATACAGCGGATGACCAAAGTAGCAAAGTGTAAATATCAGTCACTCTCTAAATAATAATGGCTGTCTGTTTTCAGCTGTTCTAGCAGGAATATATGCTGCTGTTGCTGTTGCTGTTGTTGTTGTTCTGCTGCTCGTTGCTGCTGCTGCTGCTGTTGTGATGTTCAGGCGCCATGCTAGAATGAGAGGTTAGTATTACATACAGCTGATGTAACAAGAGAGAAACATGATATTTATTGCATGAAAACAATATTTAAAAAATTTGAATTTATTTTCTATTTAATCAAAGTACTGTGTGTTTAATTTAGTTTATTATTATTCAAACAGACCGTGTGGTGCAGGTCAATAATCAGGTAAGATACTATGAGCACTGAATCTTTTCTCTTTTTTTGTGGTTTTACTCAGAAATGAAAACTGAATATAGATGAATAAATAAATACATTTTATGCAACTATAAATAATTTCATTGTATTATTATTGTAATTACATTTATGTAATAGCTGTTATGACACTGGTCTAGGGTCAGGATAAATAACAAAATAATATGAAATCAAAAAGTGCAACTTCATCAAGAGAGCAAGTAAGGGTACCAATACTGACTTATTAATACTTGCCAATATGATATTTCAAGCATTTTAGATGTGCAGGCTGTTTAGGAAGATGAATGTCTCTGCAAGATAAGAAATGTGTTATTTAAAATCACATGATTCGGTTTAATTATTATTATTATTTAATTTTTTTGTACTTTTTAAGGGGTGGCTTCTTTAGACTTGTAAGGAAACGGTCACTGTTATGATTAGCCTTGTCGCTTTTCCACCCTCGGGCCGAAGTGTTCTCCTTGCTTAACCGTTCTGTTGGTGGTTTCGTTTTCACTGTTGGTCTGATAATTATGGAGGCGGTCCAATGCAACATTTTGATGCCAAAAGTTGCAGCTGTGGAAACCGAGCTGTTTGAACTGCTTGGTTTCAACAAAAGCTATTTCTGCTGTGATGAGGAATTGTTGCATCCTGCAAAATTACAGTATGTTTTATAGTAGATGTCAAGAGATCAAACGAAAATTTGATTCTTCATGTCATTACCGTTTTAAGAGAAGCTTCCCATATTTTAGACATGTTAACTGTTAATCTCAAATATCTGGATATCAGTCTTGTTATAATATTTAGTCTTGTTCTCTTTGTGTAACTGAACCATCAATCCTGTTGATTTCTTCTGTGATTCTGTGTTTTAGAATCATGCTGGAAACATTTCCCCTAATCAGACTGAAGCTCTGCTGATGAATGAGACGTCCTCTAATCAGTCTGAGACTCATGCTGCCAATGAGACGTCACAGTAACATTATTATTTTGATTGTTTCATTGAAAGAGAAGATTGGAAATGAGAGAAGAGCATCAGCTGAAACTCACAACACTCAGAAACACAATACCATGATTTCAGTATTACTGAGATTTCACCTAATACAAACTAGTTTACAATATCATTCATAATTTATAATTCAGTTAAGTGATTTAAATAATACATTAAAGAATTGAATCTTTATTTAAATAACGTAGGTATTGCTTCAGAAATACAAATAATTAGCAAAAAAGTAATAAAAAAAACATGTTAGCAGCAATAGTGCTTGATGTTTTTCAGTATAAAGACGATTCATTTAGAAATGAATGTGAAACAAGTAATTTGAATCAAGTCATTTAATACTTAAAAACAATCAGTTTTTACAGAGTAGCTGCCATCAATCAACTCACAGGTACTGAATTGAGTCTGTACTTCCAATACTAGTAATATTACAGTCTTTAAAGTTATACGTCAAGTATTGTCATTTGATAACACTAGAGAGGAACATGCCTAATGAAAACACCAGTGTGCTGTTATTCATAACATTCATATTACTCAAAGCTGGTGTTTATAGCAGGAATCAGTTTATTTGGGTTTGAGTCTACGAAGCAGTTTATTTGTTTGTTTTGGTGTTGCAGCTCTATGGTTAAAGAAAGGTTGACGGTTCAAATCCTGCAAGGATTGATCCATGAAATCTCACCATTGTGTCCTTGATCAAACTCTGAATCTCAGGAACTCAACCTGTAATAACTGCACTAAAAAAAGCAGTGGGGAAAAACGGCAATAAAATGCCAAATATGTGTTTTTTCCATACTTGTTACTAACTGCTGCACATCCCTTTATACTTTTACTTATATTAAGTAAAATTATATTAAATCTCTCTTTTGTTCAAAGAGCTCGCTGTCTGCCTACAGAACATCAGCAGGTCTCCGATCTAAATAATTAAATCTCGTTATTTTTTATTATTTTCTCATTAATTAAATAATTAAATCTCAGATCTGGGGTTCCCAAATCAATGGCAGGATTTAGAAGTGTCATCAAGGTGCATTTTGTTTTACTTTGCATCAACCAAGGAAAGGTGCGGTGTAAATACTGTTTTATTTACAGGAAAATGGAAAGGAATTTGCAAGGTCTTTGTATGTTCATATAATAAATTACATTAAAGCAGATCTGATTCACTCTTAACTTGAATCTGAGTTTGTCGTGACATTTCTGAGTTTGTTATTAGAAATAAGCTAATCATTCACATGATTTTCTGATTAAATAAATGTTCATCTTTAACACTAGGTGGCGCACCAGTAATACAGTATGCATACCACTTGTACTAGTATTGTATCTTACACTCTTTCGTAAAGTAACACTTATTATAGTGATTATTATTACGGTAAAAGTGTGGTAATTTGATATCAGACACTAAAAAGCCAAAATTTTGGTATCTTAGACGCTGAAGATCTCGCATAAAATTATGGTTTTATAGTAGGAAAAGTAACCAGTAAATATTTTGTAAAAAAATGGTAAATTGCTTTAACAATGCTTTAAATGTCTTGTTTTTTATTTATTTATTTCAAGCGGTGTTCGTTATTAATACCACGAATATAAGTAATAGTAGTGATGCCATGCTTGACAAAGCAAACAGCACACATCATTTTCTGGGAATATTGCTCATCCCTCTAGTGGTCAAATTCTTTATTAGTTTCATTTCTGAAAGCGTTTACATCTGCTTTCTTTGAGTTCCAGCACATGTAGAAGTTATACTTGAGCGTAGCCTATGATACCTCATTACGTCAAACCACGACACTATCTATCTATCCATCCATCCATCCATCCATCATCTATCCATCCATCCATCAATCAATCAATCATCTATCCATCAATCATCTATCCATCCATCATCTATCCATCCATCCATCCATCCATCATCTATCCATCCATCCATCCATCCATCCATCATCCATCCATCCATCCATCCATCCATCCATCATCTATCCATCCATC